AGGAGCCGTGACTTACCCAGTAAGACAGATTTCCAGGGAGATGGATGAGGTTTGGGTTCAGCCCTCGGTTTGAGCGAGGCTTTGTCATCTTCTGTTGTAGGAAACTGCCGAAACTCAGGAGCGTTTGGTTGAAGTATAATTTCCGTTTTCCCGAAATATCCCGCTGCCACGGTGCCGCTTCCTGCAGCAGCAGCTGGACGGTGTTCGCTGGTGGCTTCCAGCTTGCAACCGGTTCGTGTCTGAGTTTTCCGTGCGGTGCCCTGAGGCCACGTCAGTCTGCTTTGTTCCTGAAATTTTGCATGCTGGTGCCTCTGGCTCCCCGAAACCAGAAGGATGCAGGTGATGCAAACGTTTTTTGGGGAGCTCAGCCCTCCCTGCCAGCTTGGCCTGGCAGGGGCAGGGATTTACTAGCAGCGTGTCACCCCGCTGCTGATCCGATTCCCATCCTGTGAGCAACCTTGATTTACAAGCCGACAACACCGGAATGATTTAAACTTTTTGAGGATTGAAGCGTGTAAGGAAGTCTCCTGGAACATCAGCGGGGACTTATGCTTAGGAGTTGGTGTTTGCATATGTGTGTGCCTCTGAAATCCCATCCTTCCCTAGGATGGGTTATTTTAGGGAATTAAAGGCATGCTCTGGCTGCAAGCAGCAGGCTGCCATCGGAGAGCACCGGGATCCAGCTCGCTGCGTCGTGTGTCTCCCGTTGTATCTGCCCTAGTCGGTGTGTTCGAGGCGTTCCTATGGAAATACCAGTGTTTGGTAGAAATCCAGGGATCAGGCTGTAGCCTCGGGCAGCCGCGCTCTGCCGTGCGCAGGAAAGGGGCATCGCTTTCCCCGTCCCGTTCGCAGCGTGCCATGTGAAAGCAGGGCAGCGGGGACGAGGTCGGAGGGGCTGCAAGGGATGCTTGCGAGGGCAGCTCTGCACCACCTTCCCAAACTTGAGTGGATACTTTTGCAAAGCTTCATCCTGCTTTAGCTCAAGCTTGAAAACTGCTTTTGTAAGCAAAATACTCGGGAGGTGATTCATGGCTCCGTGGGTCCTGCACTTGCCAAGCCAGGCAGGATACCTGAACTCGCATCCCGATGCCCGGCTCGCGGCGGGAGCTGCTGCGGCGTTGGCTGCTCGGGGTCAGCGATGCCTGCGACGGTCCGTCGCTTTGCCGCAGCCCTCTCGGGGAGGGTCAAGTGGGAGACAGGAGGCAATAATTTCCTGTTACTGCCGGGGGATCGCAGCAATTATTCAGCTGGAGCTTGGTGACTTCAGATGTTTTTTCACTTTTAGATTGATTTATTTTTTTTTTAGCAGCTCTGCAGCAGCGCAGTCCCACAGACGTGCTGGGACGTGCTCCACTCTGGAGGCATCTCCTGCAGGTTGCCCGAAGCTGCCCACTCGGTCACCCCGGAAAGCCCACTGTCAGATTTAGGGAGGAGGGATGTGTTGTGTGTTGGTCTGGGAGCTTTCCTGCTGCTCACGGTAGGTGATTCAGATCCCACTTGCTCTTGTGGGACACGTGGGCCTGGGTCGAGGGCTTGTTTCGTGACTCCCGGAGCGGTGCGAGATGTTCTGGGGCGCTTTTGAGATGTTCTGGGGCGCTTTTGAGATGTTCTGGGACGCTTTTGAGATGTTCTGGGACACTTTTGAGAGGTGTCAGTGACTGGCTAACGTGTCGTGGTTACCGCGTCTGCTGTAGGGACGCGGTTTTGCTGAAGGCAGCAGCGTGCATCATCTTACATAGTTTTGCTCCACGTCGTTTCGTGTTTCTGGAGTTAATTCAGAGAATCTTCTTAATTTTCCCTGATTAGCAGAATTTGGCTTTTTGAAAGAAGCTGGCTGCTTCTGCTGGTGTGGTTTAATCCTTCCCGTCGTTTTGATAAGCCTTTTATTTCTTTTATACATATTGACAGGCTGGAACCGCTTTGGACACCGGCCAGCCTTGTGCGTGTTACTGGCTGGCACGACTTCGGGGGATTTCAGATGGGTTTGTTGTAGTGCGGTGTCGTCGGCAGCAGCATGTTGGAGCATCACAGGCTGAGAAATGTCTTTGCTTTCAGAATCCAGCGACGGCGCAAAACGAAGCGTCTTTACTGCTATAACACAATAAAGGGAATTTCGGGGGAAAGCGGTGGTAGTTTAGGACAGTCTTGATTGCGTAGTCATCTTGTATTCCAAATGACGTACGTGCCTCTCTTCTTCTCTTCCCGTTAGAAGGCTGCAAGTCTCTGGACCAGCTGAACCTCACAATCCCTGTGGCAGGGCACCCCGCGTCGCCTGCCCACCCGCGCTCAGGATGTCCTGTACCCAGCGTGCCACCGGCTGCAGAACCCGTTCCTCATCTGCAGACCCCCAACTCTGACCCTCAGACCATGGCCCGAGAATGTCCGCAGAGCTCGAAGCCTCCCAGCGGCTCCAAATCCGGTCTGCGAAATACTACGGGCTGTCTCCACGCC